GTGACGAAATCGTTAAAATATGAGATAAAATTTCGGATTTTTGTTATTGGAAAATTGTTAAATTGGAAGCATTTTCTTGTTGAAAAGATGATTATTATATGTAAATATACGTGGGTATATTGATGGATAAGGATTGATAAGGAAGATTGAGAATATTGTTTCTGGTTAAGTAATTTTGTAAAGAAGTTCTAGTTACAAAAAATTTAATGATCGTAAAGTAAATGTTTTGATTTTAATATGTGATGACTAATATAAAAAAAAATATTTTGATATCAAGAGTTTTTTTTTATTAAGAATATTAAATAAATTTTTTTTTATAATTTTCATCCATAAATTATTTCTTTAAAAAGGAAAAAAGGATGCTTGAAACATCTTCTTAAAATCAAAGTCATGGAATTTAATCATTCTGTATTTTATCCTGTATCTATTTACAAAAATATACATATATGATTCATTAAAGAATATAGATAATTTCAGTTATATACGCAGTTAATACTCGTTAATTATTCGCAATATACACCAACTTCGATTGAAATTAAAAGTTTAGAAATTAAAAGTTAGAAACAATACATTAAAACATGTCAAACAATAAATATCAAATTGGTAAAAATAACAAATAATAGTGAAACTGTTTATTTAGATAATTAATTTTCCAATTATCTGAATATGAATTATTTGTTCGTTTTAATAATAATACATCGTTTAAATTTTTGTTGAGGATGCTCTTATTATACCGATTCGTTTCCGAATCAACCAATATTTATCTTCTCCTGCTTGTGATTGTAGTCTAAATCGCGTGTTATGTAACATGTAATGAATGAAGTTTTAATGCCACATCCACATCTAATTACCCTACAACGTTATGTACCAAAATTATAGTGCGATTACAAAATACGTAGTAACATAGCAACATTTGTAAAAATAAGAACAAACGATTTTATGACTCATGGATGTGAATGTGAAGTGAATCGTGCTCTCTGCTTTGTTTCTTTGCTTTCTTCAAATTTAAGAAGAAACAGAAATTTAATTTTAAATTATAATAAATATTTATATATAAATTGCAATAAATATCTTCAAAATAAATCATTTCTATTCTAAAGGAAAGTTAAATTGGATGGATTAGTGAAAATTTATGATGCGTAAAAATTAATTCAAAAATTAGATTCTTATTTGGTGCACGCTATGCGGAATAATAACGTAATCATAAATTAAGTTATAAAGTGAAGAAAATAGCTTTTCCAGCTTTATTGTGATGCAGAAGCTCGTTAATGTCGTTCGTTTACACCTGGTACCTATCCTTGTTAAATTTTAGTTCAAGTAGGACTATTGGAGGACTATTTGCTTCAAGCAAAACAATTAGAGTACATTTAATAATTAATTTTTTAATTTATTAAAGCCTATTATTATTAAAATATATTTTATAATTATAATTAAATATTAAAAATATGACAATAATCTTCTTATTATATCTTATATTTATAAACTTTTATTTTAAAAAAATTAAAAATTTCTAAAACTTTGAAAAATCTATTTATCATCAAAATCTAAATCCAAGAAAATTTAAAAAAAATAATTACTTTTTAAAGATCTCCTTATAATAATAAATAATATATTTTTCACTTTAAAATTTTTCATCAAAAGATCCATATTATTCTTCATATTACCGATATATCACGAAAAAAATATAAGAAAAAGCGTATAATGAAAATAAAAAAAAAAACTGATCTTTGACAGATAGCGAGTAAAGATCATATGCAAGAAAAAATATAGGCATCCGTGACCTTGTGACCTTGTGAGATACCTGTCATGAAGTTAGCTGGTTGAAAACGATACTGTAAACAAATGACGACGAGATGTCCCTTAGGAATTGCTACGGTACCGTCTACGCAGTTTTATGTAACAGGGATTACGGAGCGCTCGAACCGGACGCCCTTGGATCACATCTCATCGATATGAGAAACTAGTTTCCATCGGGGAGGCGACTGACAAAGAAAAACGGCCAACGAAACAGTACCACATACTTATGCACTTACATACTTGATCAATCTACTCGACTCTCACTCGTTTGTTGTTCGATCGATCGATCGTTCGACACAGTTAATCGGCGAAGCGATCCGTCGATCATCGACGATCGTGTTGACAAAGATGTTGGATGATTTGCGCAAACAAAATTAATAATCGAATTAAATATTGTAAATCCATTGACTAAATTATTTTTTAATTTTATTTTTATAATCAAGGCTGGTTAAAATAATTAATTATTTGTTTGAAAATTTGTTAGAATAGCTTAATGAGTTTATTGATATTTATATTCGATGATAAACTAATGATAATGACAAAAAACTTTAATTAATATTAAGATTAATATTATTAAGATGAGAAAATTTATGTCTTAAAATTTGACCCTTGAAATTAATCTCATAGAAGTGGATTCTTTCATATTTTTTTCGAATAATAAGTAAATTACATATCGTATTTATTCAGACGATAAATATGTAGGTCTATTGGTTAGCATTTGCAGATTGCTTATGCGGTTCACCATTCACTGAATATATAATTATTATAGAATAATTATCATAGAAATCTGTACAAATGACACAAATTTTAAATCTGCATGTTATATAGTGATTTATAAACACTTCAGTGAAGTTATATCTAGTGGGAAATAACTTCAAGTAACTTTAAATTAATCCACTAGTAAATTATATTATCTTAAAGTATATTACATTTTTCATTAGATTCAAGAAAATAAACATTGAAACATAAAAAATTGAAAAAATATACTATGCATTTAAAATGACTGCATAAGATATCATAATCAATTAAAAACATTAATAAAAAAATTAATTGTTTATATATTCTATTTTTGAATATCATTATCATTGTTTATCAATTATTATTAATCTGTTTTATCATTTTGTAAAAAAATATATAAATATCAACTTCGCTCAATCGGTAATCTAGATCATGAGCATCCTTTTACGTAGCGCCATCTATATAGTACAACCTTGTGTACGTATAACCGGGACCGCCATTGATTAAACCTGTCAGAGAATCAGCTGATCGGTTATTCACATACGTGAGATCAGCTGTGCGCAATCATGGACGAGTTGAGCGAAGAAGATTTTGTAATACCTCCTGTAAAATATGAATGTAAGTATCATATATCGTATTTTAAATATAATATCACATTAAATTCATCAAATAAAGACTTTCATTATGTTAGAATGAAATAACCGGCAGCCGGTGTGTCGTTATACCGGCATCCATTTTGCTACATGTGGATTGGTTGAAATTGAAAGTTAGAACGTTATTTTACGATCAGTTATGTAGGAAAATAAGTGAAATCATGTACCTACGTTTTATTTTTCAGATTTGGATCATACAGCAGATGTACAGTAAGTATTTAGTTCATAAATTCCTCGTAAGATTAAAACTGATACATTGTAGAGGTTACTTGCGTAGATAACCTAAAATTAAAAGTGGGATAATAAATTACTTTTGTTAATAGAATGAAAAATATATATCGTTGAATTATTTTAAAAATAAATTATACGATTAGATATATATTATAATATTCGTAATGTATTATAGATTACATGCATGGGGTGATACTATAGAAGAAGCTTTCGAACAATGTGCGGTGGCCATGTTTGGATACATGACGGATTTAGAGCGCGTTGAAATGACACAATTACACTACGTGGAAGCAGAAGGACATGACATGGAAAGTCTTCTTTTCCATTTCCTCGATGAATTATTATTCATGTTTAGTGCCGAACCATATATCGTTGCAAAGGTATATTTCATTTTTCAAATAACAATTTTGTCATCATTACACTTAAAATATTTTTTCAATTACATCAGTTTTATTCAACACTTTTTCGACTTTTTATTTTTTATGCAAGGATATTTATTCAACAAATCATCCAATTTAATATGTGATTTCAGTAATAATTTAAAGAATAAAATACATTTTCTACTCTTATTTTCTACTGTTTGTTTTTTTATTATTTCAAAAATTTTGTAAGAGAAAGTATCATTTTATGTTATCAGAAAGTGAAGATCACTAAATTCGACCGCGCAAATTTCAAGATCAATGCGATGGCGTTAGGGGAAGAATTCACGATTGGTAAACATACTCAAAATGCCGAAGTAAAAGCGATCACGTACTCTGCCATGCAGATTCTCGAATCTTCAGAAATAGAATGTCCAGAAATTTTCGTAATCGTAGACATATAGTTGTTTCAGAATCTACTCGATGTCTTTTTTGATTTCTTGATACACTTTTGAAATTTAGCTTAGCTTAATACTTAAGACACAAAAGTAGGAAGAAACTTATGAATATAGGAACAAGAAGGGAGATCTATACCCTCCCTTACATCCTACATAGGGTACGATCCTTTTGTAGTTGCGTAGGGTTCAAATAAATACGTTACGAAGAAAACACCGGGCTCCCTTCTTGCCGACCTATCTCAGGTACGTAGCTACGTATTAAAGAATCCTGCAACTTATTGATAATTACTCAAGAATATCATAATAGCATCGACGTATAATAATAACGTAACTAATAACATATATAAATGTGTTTAAATAATGTAAATATTTTCATTTCTAATTTTCTTTTTTACATATACTTACAGTTATTCGGTTACTGTTGTCAATAATAACTTTTAAATATAAGAGACGTATGATAAATATTATATAACAAAATATTTGTATATTTTTATAAACATATAATAAAAATATTTTCTTATGCCTTGTGTCAATGAAAATTATTAAAACGAAATAAAATTAACATAAATATTATTAAAATGAAATTTCAGTTAAAAGAAAATCGAAATTATAAAATCAATCAAATTAATATTGAGAATTTTCAAATCATTTGTTAAAATAGAAAACAAAATTGAGCGTGTTTTAGCACGTGTAAAGTGATACGGCCCTGGTGTCCAACACCCCTCCATCGTGAAGGAAGCGACGACCGCCCGCTTAGTTTCGGGCAAGAAACGATAGGTAGTGGGATCCTCCCAATCTTCGGGTGTGTGTGTAGTATAGAAAAAAGAATCAAAAAATATTGAAAATTATATAATTCGAGAGAATATTATTCATTCGTTTCATTCTTGCCCTCTTTCTTTCGCGATAAGGCCCACGTTAAAGGGACTCACTGCCAACATCAAGCGTGGACGTTTGTTTCGAAAGCGCACACCCCTGACCATGGCGGACTGAAACGGTAATAATCTATAATAGCAATATATTTTGACGTTTTAAACTGTCAAAACCAAATAAAAAATACATTAAACGCGAACGTGTCTTGGGAAAGTCGTGATATAGGGATTTTTCACCTACATGTCGGAGCTTGCGTGGCAGTTTCATGGAAAACGAGAGGGACAGTTTTGGCGCGTGTGCTCATTATCTCTGTGAAAAGTCTGTGCAACTCGTAAATTGTTAATTTTTCTCGTCTTATTTTTATGTCAACATATATGACGCGGGTATCGAAAACGCACCACATTGTGTATTCATTGTGGAACGTCTAACCCTAAGGAATATAAACAAACGATAACGTGAATATTTAGAAGATCATTATTGTCTCGATGGATTCGAAAGATAAGTAAAAACAGTGACCCTGTGAAATTTTGTAAAAAAACATAGAAAAGGTGACACGGTCTAGGAACTTTTTTGGATATCTGTGATAGCTGGCGGCGCGGTGGTTACGGAGAAAAGCGAAGTGACGGTTTTGGCGCGCGTACTCGACTCCTGTATACGACCGGCAGATGGCCGATGCGCCGGTACGTTATAGGCGCGCGTCCACGAACGCACCGACACATGACAGGCGCCTAAGCACATACTACCACCGTGATAGAGACGCGTTCAAGAACATATCGAAGCAGTAGTAGAAGGCCACTACCACGGTGACACTGTACGTTGAAGAGCGGAGTAAAGCGCACGAACACGCGGTCCGGTGTTACTACTACCGGCACAGGCGAGTCTATCTGCCTCGTAGCCCGAGCCAGTTGCCAGCGCGCCAGCCAGCCCCGTCCATCC